CTAAGTATTTTTCTCTGATACTTGATTGTACCCCCGACGTTAGCCACCAAGAATAAATATCTATAATTTTGAGATATGTGGATGTTTCTTCTAATTGTGTTAGCGTAGAGGATTCTTTTTTAGGATTTATAAATGTGCATAACACCACTGGGCAATGACTTTTTGATGTTTTATTAAATGAATTGAAGGCACCTGAACTTAATGTGGATGATGCGCATGATCAAAGTTATGATAATTGATCAAACATGAAAATAAAAAAAGAAAAGAGTTCAAAGAAAACTTTTAGATATCAATCCTAGATCGTTTTATACTTTTTGTGGTGCCCATAGCCTTTATTTAATGTTGTGTGACATGGCCAATAATTCTGGAAAAGCTATAGACTTTTTTGGTGTAATACAACATATTTACACAGTATTTGCAAAATCCACAAAGATATGGGAGATTTTACAAAAGAATGTGAAAGATTTAACTCATAAATTGACGTCTTCTTCTCGTTGGGAGAGTTGTGATGAGAGCGTAAGAGCAATAAAATTACAAATTTCAGATTTTAGAGAATCTTTGCTTGAAGTTGCTGAAAGTGACAATGACAATTCTATTAAAAAACAAAGCTAAGTCTATAGCCAATAATGAGCTTGATGATTTTGAGATAGTCTCTATTGTTATTTTGTATGAGTTTCTATATGCTGTTAATTTAGTTGGAAAAAAAATGCAGTCAAAAGATATGTTTGTTGGTATTGCCATTAATGATGTGAAGAAGTTGATTTCTTTTTTAAAGAGTATAGATAAAATGGTTTTTCTAATGCTCTTGAAGTTGCTGATAAAATTGCAAATGATATGGATGTTGATCCAGATTTTCCTCAAAAATGTTGAATAAAAAGAAAATGTCAATTTGATGAGAATTTAGATGATGAGATTGCATAAACTACAAAGGAGTCTTTTAGGATTACTTTTTGCATCATTGATCAAGTAATTGTCTCACTGGATAGGATGTTTGAACTATATGAGCAATATAAAAATTTGTTTGGCTTTTTATTTACTTTTGACAAATTGTTCCAATTAGATGACCCGAGTTTAAAATTTTGATGTATTCGTTTGGAAGAAGCATTTAAGAATGATAATAAATGTGATTTTCATGGTGTGACTTATATGTAGAGTTGAAGTTGCTCCAACAATTTTTACCCAAATAAAAGTTTGAAGTGCTTGAAATCTTAAAGATCATAAAATGTGTTGATTGTTTTCCCAATGCTCTTATTGCTTACATGATATGGTTGATTATCCTCGTGACAGTTGCAAGTACCGAAAGAGGTGTTTCAAAGTTGAAGTTGCTCAAGTCTTACTTGCGTAATTCTATGTCTCAAGATAGGCTTAATGAGCTAGCTATGGTGGCAATCGAGAATGAGGTACTAGATAAAATCGCTTGTGAAAATTTGATTGATGAATTTGCTTTAAGTAATACTTTGAGGACAAGATTGTTCAAGTGACTAATATGTAATTTTTAATTTTGGTAAACTTAATGTAAAAGTTTTGCGCATTATTTGTTTGATCGTTTAGTTTTAAAATTAATTAGTTACCCCTCCATTGCTTAGGGACCTATTTTTAATTTTCGTTCCGGGCCCTGATAATGGCCGAGATGACCCTGTATAAACCATTATATATGGTTGGGTGACCTTCCAAACTCACTCTCCTTTTTGTCTAATCAAAATCATTTATTTAAAGAAAAAATTCTACTAATAAGGGTGACGACTATAATTTTCCTTTAACAATGTTATATAAAGTTTTTTAATAGTATAGGATAATTGTAAGGTAATATATGTTTATATATATATTTTTAAATTATTGACAATGCATACACGTCCTGCAAATACAATTACTCAAACTTTAAAATTTTAAGGGTAGTAAAATTTATAAATCCCTAAATCTCCAATCCCAAATAGTTACTTATTCATCACTGACCACTCACTAATCGATAATCACCCTTTTCATCATCTCAAATCCTAAAATTCTTAAATCTCTAATCCTTAAAATCTCAAATATCCAATTTCTAAATCTTAATAATAATCATCGGCAACCCTTAATCTGAAATATAAAATTGTTAGCCTTAATCATCGCCACCCTCATTTCATTTGTTAGTTTTCTAAGACTTAATTAGGATTTACATAGTTAAATTAATGTTATCTATTTTACTTTTTTATCATGTCATCATTAAGCAATGTATTTTTATTGAAATATTGACATTAATTCTCTTTTTATTTTATTTTTATTAATTTTAATAATATATTTAAATCTTTTGATGATGTGATAGAAAATGATAAAACAAATGTTCTTATTATTTCAATAAGGATAATTTAGTATCATTAATCCAAGAATGCCGAAATAGTAACAACGTAGTTAAACAAAGGTTTAGTTAATTTAATAAAGACAATGTCTATTTGATCGGTCGATCAAAATGCTTATATTTATTCTTTCATATTCTCTTATGTTATGGGTTCTAAATCTCCTGGGAGTACCTCCTTCCTACTTTTCTCTCTTGGAGTGGTTCTTCAAGAAATAATTTTAAAATTTGGACTGTTACTGTTAAAATTCATGTTCTTCTTAAAATCAGAATTTTTAGGTGGAGAATTTGTACAAAATACAATTCCTGTTGGTCTAAAGATGAACAATGCCGGTCTTGGTGATAGTCATAAACTCTGCGATGCTAATGTTGAATCTATGACTCGCACCATCCATGATTGCTCCCATGCTAAAGAGGTTCTTCTCTTTTCTGACTGGAATAGACGGGTTTTAGACTCCAATCAAATCTCCTGTAAAGAATGGCTTGAAAGCTTGATTGAGTTTATAGATATGGAGACTTTTGCTCGTCTTCTTGTTATATTGTGGTCCGTATGGAATCGTAGGAACAAATGGCTGCATGAACAGGTCTTGCTTAACCCTAAGCATGATGACACCCTTCTGCTCCTGTCTGATCTTAAATCTGCTAGCTCTCGTGGAATATTAAGAGAGTCGTTTGGCAGAAGCCACCCCATGGCTTTGTCAAAATCAATATGGATGGCGCGTGGAGAGATGATTCTCGTGAAGTTGCCATTGGGGTCCTGGAGGCCATGCTTGCTGCTTGTCTGAGCTTGACTCCGCTGATCTCGTAGAGATCAAAACTTTTTTAGAAGGTATTTCACTTGCTGCTGAGAATGGGTGGTCTGACGTTATCATTGAAGGTTTTCTGTCGTCTACAAGCTGGCCAATCATGCTCTTGACCTTTCTATCGTTGCTTTTCAGCACGTAGGATTCTTGCAAAACACCCCCATTTTAAAGTTGTGTTTACTCATACATCCTTAAACACTGCTGGCTGCTGCTCACTCTTTAGTCAAATGAGCCTTTTTTCGTCCTTTTGGTTTATTTAGAATTTTCCAACTTGTATCTTTGATATTGTCATTTCGGATGCTTTGAATAATTAAACCTAGCTTTTTTTTTAAAAAAAAATTAAGATTAAATATTAAATTTATATTACAAAGTTAATATAGGAAAAATTGAAAGATCAAAGAGTCATAATAAAAATTTTAATGGCTGAAATGATTAAATTGGAGAAAAGAAAGATTATTTTACCTGAGTAAATTTATCACTGTCCATTAACTTCTGGGGGTAATTTACATTCTAGATCATTAAATTTAATTTAAATTTTTATTTAGATAACAAACCTTTAATTTAATCAAATTAAAGATTACTTTTGTCTTTGTAATAGATCTAATTTATCGTTTGTCATCCCTATGGTTTTACGTATCTATTTAATTTTTAAAGTTGTTTAGGAACATCATCTTATCCTTCGAAATCCGTTTTGAATAACAGAACCGTTAGTCTTATACGTTTATCGACGTCAACAATTTTCATGTCAATCGATATTATTGATGTGACTTGATGATGTCCTAAAAAAATTTGATCTAATCTCTTAATTTCACTAAAATAAATAATAAAATGCTAAGATTTTTTTAATTGTTGTGTTTGATAAATATTTAACCTAATCTCTTAATCCACAGGCGCATAAGACTCATGGTTCTATTAGTCAAAACGGTCAGTGGACTTCAAGGGCTAGGTTGATGCCCTTAAACAACTTTGAGGGCTAAATTGATTCCAAAAAATATAGGGGTGAAAATGATAAATTGAATCTAATACAGGGGCAAAAGCAGCGCTTAAGTCATTAATGTTTAATTAATAGTTTAAATATTTTTATCAGTTTTTCTTAAATTATTTTAACTCTTTGTTTATATTATTTAATAGTATTAGTCAAAGAGAAAACAGAACATGGTCGGCAATGGCCTAACACTTGTTAGACAATTTGAAGTGCATATATATATATATAGTTTGAGATGAATATAAAATAGTATTAGTGAAAGATTCTTAAATCATTTCATATAAATGTTCATACACTTATGCAAATTTTGTGCTAACATATTAGACCTCAAAAGATAACAACAATCCTCAATAATTTGTACATACAACAAAATTTAAATTGAACTAAACATGGTGCCCTAATTTTTTTCTTAATTATTATTAAAATATCATCAAAACTCTTTGTTACCTTTAATCTAACCACTGCTACCTTGCCGACCCAATAAATTAATTGAGGCCTTGTGTCTATTGATGCAAACATGAGTTTTTGTTTATCATTAACGAATCTAAATTGTATTTAATCACTTTATTAGTTAAGTTCCAAGTGTCCAAAGTCATAAGTTAGTTGAAAAATAACGAAGGGAAATGTATTTGATTAAGCCCACAAGCTTGTGGGAGGATGGTATCGGATGTAATGAAGAGAGATAGACCGGGTGTGGTCCTGTGCGATGATCCGTGTTTTATAATTAATTATATTTTCTAACACATGTTTAAAATATGCATTAAAAGATCCTAATATCATTGGTATGTTTCAGGTTCGAAAAAGAAATATAATTTTTTGGATAATCAATCTATTCATCCAAAGAGAGCAACAAGCTGCTACAAGTTACAATTACAACCAATTACATGAGTTCCCAATCAATGCAAAGTTGTCTATTTACATTATCCACTCTATTCATATCGTGCCTATACAATTTTGTTCTAACAGCTCCTTTTATAATATCTACAATTGTATCAGGCGAACGCGACAATCCCCTAAAAATACGATAGTTGCGTTCTTCCCATGTAAAATAAACGAATCCAGTCCATGCTAGTTTTAGAATGTGAACTAACAAGGATTTACCTTTCCAATTGCAAGCCATCCAGCCAAGCAAGTCATCCCAGCTAGAATCCTGCTGTTGCAACCTACAAGCATGCAAAATGGAATCCCAAACTGCTTTCGAATAAGAACATTCCAAGAACAGGTGATTTCTTGATTCCAGTCCAGCACCACAAAGTCTGCAACCAAGGTCTGTCATCACGCCAAACCTAGCCAATCTATCTTTGGTAGACAACCTATCAAGGATTGCCATCCAAGTGATCAGAGAATATTTAGGGACATGAGCAGGAAACCAGATTAGCCGATGCCATATCACCTTATCCTTTCTTTCTCGGATTCTGTCCCAAATCCAACCACCCTTAACCTGTGCCCAGTTTACAGAAGCAAGAAACAGAGCACTGGCCTCCTCGCGAAGCTTGATCAACTTCCTTAGTATCCAGCTGAAATGGGGTTTATTCCCAACACTCCAATAATCCTCTGCTTGATCAAGCTTGGCTGAAGAAATATAATTGTCATACTGCTACAGTATAAAATGAAATGTTAAATTACATACTTTTGTAAAGCATTGAATTATTATTATTTTATGGGTGTCGTGAATAATATGGATAGAGATAAATGGCTTATGGTAGCAGACATTTCCACAACCTTTTTTTTCACAGATTCTTAGTGTCATCTTTTAAGTACATAGTAAGATTTACTTTGTGTTAAATCTTATTTTAGCTTCATAGATCTCTACAGGAGGATGTTGTTATTTGGGTCCAACATTAATACCTGCATATTTGATTGTTGTCTTTGCTACTTGATTTTAGTAATTAAGTATTTTCTTTCAGATTCTGTTGCCTCTGAGGGCAGATTATGTTTAGCTAAATTTTCATTGATTTGTTATATAATTTTTTGGAATCCTTTGTTTTCTGGACAAGTTTGGCTCATTCTTCTTGTTCAGGACTTTGGGTGCTTGCTATAAAATTGAAACTCTGAACCTTGGGGGATTCTTTTTTCCTTTTTATTGTAATTGTGGAAAAAGATTCATCATCTTCTTCAATTCCAGGTCTTATATGAATTATCTTGCATTGCGCAGATAAGATTACATCTTTTGTTTCTTTTTCTTTCCAATCAATCTCTGCCTTCTAGTCAATTTGGAGATTTTCTGGTGATGTTGGATTTTATTAAGTTTTTATAGATTTGACAATTGGGTTACTGTATATCCTTAGTTGTTAATTGGTCACTGTTTCTTGGATGAGTCTGCTCCATGTTTTTTGGGTTTGGTTTAAAGGTGGGACATCTGGTTTGGATGTTATGTTGTTTGATAACATCGACGATCTCGATGAACTGGTTCATTAATGGTGAATTTAAGGACCCCAAGGGTGTCCTCCTTGGTGATAGTGGTAGCAAGATGTGGTTCAAATGTTGGGATGAAATCTTTAAATTTCAGCTTCAAGATCCACTATCAGTACTACCAGTATATTGGTTCCAAGAGAGTTTGCAAGTCATGGTGGAGAGAGCTCTTATTTTCATGGATAATTGGTTGGACCTTGGCTTCCATTTGGATCTTCTGTTGTATGAGCTCTCTCGCTACCGAAAGAGCAACGAGACGCTAGCGAGCATGTGTGATGAGAGAGATAGGATGTTGCAGGATCAGTTTAATGTAAGCATGAACCATATCCAGGCTATGTCTATTTTGATCTCAACTTTTAACCATGGGAAAACCCCATCTGCTATTGACCAGGTAAGCCGTATGCTCTTCTTGGAACTTTTAGATAGGATCATAGAACTATTTGAGATAGATAATTAAGTGCTTGCTAGCCATTGTTCAGTGTTTTACATTATGAATTATGATCACTTGTGTTTTAGTCGATGATGGAAACTCACTTCAAGAACCTGTAGAGGACTTTTGCGAGGTACACCCAACGAATGCTTTCGAGAGGCCCCTCACAAGTGGTGTAGCATATGCCATAAGGGTGCTCCACTCTGAACGGAACAATTCGAAAGGCAACAGGGTTGGACTATTAAGAGGATGAATAATCTTGAACCATCTCCAATTCAGGAAGAATATGCTCCTGTTAGATTTGCCCTGGATATCGTTTCACATGTGATTTCTCTTGGTATGCTGTCAGGAAAGGTGAATTCCTTTACCTTCTTCTAAAAAGGTTCTTGTGATTCCTTTACTAGCCATGTTCCATAGCGATAAATTTCACTGAAAGTTATGCTATTTCTGATTAAGCAAAACAGAACTGGAGTTATTTTTTATCACTTCCTAGTTTGGAGCAGTATGAAGAATTTTCAATCTATTAAGACCCTTAACACTAGTTGAATAAAAATATTTTTACTTTCTTTTATATCAACAGAAGGATAGTCAGAACGTGTTACATGCAAGAAGATCGGGAAAAGGGGTGCTAACAGCTCCTTTTAGGTAGTTATTTTGACATTTGCAGTCTACAAGAGGGATCTTCCCTCAAATGCAACTCCTAACGAGAGGATTCAGGCAACCGACGGCTATGTTTTCGTTACAAACAATTGCATATTAAACCCTAAACCCTATTAGACAAACTAATAATTGATTATACAATATAAAAATTGTTCATGTATCAACAAATTTTACCTTAATAATAAAATATTTAAAGTGACGTATGAAATTGAACAGAAACTCATGGAACTCAAATGGTGACTACAAACTGCATCAACTGTTGCATATTAAAGTATAAAATTAAGATATAATATTAAAAATAATAAAAATTTAAAGTACAAAAGTAAATCAAAATTAAGTATAATTCCAAAACTTATAATGCTAGACTTGGCTCTTGGCACTTTATAAAATTAAATTATTTAATATTAAAGTTCTAATAGAAAAAAATGAAAAGAAAGGTAAACAATTAGATGACCAAAATAAAAAAAAGTAATATGTTGGTGATTATTGATGTAATTTACTCAAAAGAATACGCAGGCAGCCACTGTTTGATAACTTTTATGATTCAAAATGAACCGTTAGATCAATCATCCAATAATTGGGGGGGGGGGGGGGCACACTCTCTCCTACATTCTCTCGCCAGTCGCCTCTCAAATCTTCATCCATTTGGCTGCTGCTTTGTTCTCTTTCGTCTCGTGAATTTGAAGCCGCCGCCCAAATTCATTATATTAAAGAAAAAAAATGGACCCAGATTCAGTAGCGAAGGCCTTCGTCGAGCACTACTACTCCACATTCGATGCGAACCGGGCCGGTTTAGCCAATCTCTACCAGGAAGGTTCCATGTTGACCTTCGAAGGTCAGAAGATCCAGGGCTCTCAGAACATCGTCGCTAAGCTCACCAGCCTTCCTTTCCAGCAGTGTAAGCACAATATCACCACCGTCGATTGCCAGCCTTCCGGCTCCGGCGGCATGCTCGTCTTCGTCAGTGGTAACCTTCAACTCGCCGGCGAACAGCATGCTCTCAAGTTCAGCCAGGTAATTTTCCCAGCCTCTGCATCGTTTCCTTTTTCTTTTGTTAGGATTTTAATGTTTACTTATCTGATCGATCTACGTCTAATCTATGTTGTCACTGTTGATTCCATCGAGTATACATTTCGTGTTAATTTCGCGATGCAATTATTACTGGAACCTTTGTTGATGTTTTGATCTGACGCAAGTTGAAGTGGCAATTATACTGTGATGTTTATAACCCTTAGTGCCCATCGGATATACTTAAGATAATAAGATTACATTTCCAGGGATTGCACGTTTTTCGTTAATTTTGAATCTACATTGATTGTATTAAGAAGGATAGTTAGTTTAGATAAATTTTTTTATTAACCTAGAGTAAGTACAAGCATCTGTTTTCTAAGCATTGGTCTTCGCTCAATGGTTGGATAGTCTAGATACCTGATTTCATATAATATTGCCATGAATACGTTTTGGAAAGATGTGGATATTTTATTTTTGATCGGCCATCTATCCAATGAACCTGCTGCATTTTTATCGCCCTGGACTGCACTTTCATGTTCATAGTCGGTTAATTGTACCTCTCATATCTCCGGAAATATGTTCCGAAGACACACTTTTAAGAACAACGCCTCTGCCCACTGTGCGTCCAGAGTCGGTGGGCTCACCCTAAAATCCGAATTTTCTTCAGTTAGGTATTTATTTTATTAATTGTGTTCACCCTAATTGTTGCATTTTGCTCTCAGATGTTTCATTTGAAGCCAACACCTCAAGGAAGCTTCTATGTGTTGAATGACATATTCAGGTTGAACTATGCTTGAAGACGAATGGATGTCGATACAATGTCGAGTTTTTAAAACACGTTTGCTTATTTTTGGCATCTTGAATGAAAATTGGAAAATTCTTGTGTTGCTTATGTTTCATTGTGGTCATTTCTCTCCATATTTCCGTGACTTCTTTGTTGTGATTGGTTGAATTTGTTATCTTATGTTTTGGATGTTTGATTATAAATTTTAGTCAAGCTTATGGCTTTCAGAAACAGATTTTCCATCAATGAATCATAGATATATGCAATTGTATGATTAATATGAATGGCCTATGTTTCATTGTGTCAATAAAAGTTTGATCTCTCGAATCCTCTCTGATTATAGTTGAAATTCGAAATAATGTTATATTACCATATTTCACTACTACTTAGTACTTGCATCTCAAAAAAGATGATAAAAAGGTCTGCATCAAGCTCTTTCTTGGCCACAGATTCGAACCGGGACAAGAGTTGCCATTGTTAAAACCTTCTATGGCTCATTGCCCTTCACCACTCGATCCCATGTGTGGAAACTCAACGTTAGGAAGCTCAGGTATTTCAGCTGAATTCTGGGTAGGGCGCTAATTGAGTTGAGCAGTTCGAGTTTGGTTAGATCAAAATTTGGTCTATGCTCGACTTGATTTAGTTTGATTGAGAATCAAGTTTGACGTGACACTTTAACGAGTTGAGTTGATTAAGGTCTAACTCGACTTGATAAATTTGCAAACAACACATTATTTTCTTTTATAATTTTTGAAGGTATTAATTACCTTATTTTTAAGATTGATTATGTATTAGGGTCGTTCATGGATGGTTAATCATACATTTTAGCTTAAACAATTGGTTAACTGTTATAATGATTATAAAATTTCTTTAACCGTAACCTAACTGCTAAGAAACGGTTAACTGTTGACGGTTCGGTTATAAATTAACCTACTATTAATCTATTACAAATTTTCAAAACTGGTAGCATTTAATATATTTATATCGATGTAAGTATGTTCATCTCCCAATATTTGGTACCTAATTATATTGATACTTGATACATATTTACACCGATGTGACTATGTTTTTGTATTTTCAAAGAAATAAAAATTAAAATCAATAAAAATATATATTAAATTATTTATGTGAAATTTTTATTAAAAATATATAAATTAAAAATAATAGAAAAATTATAATTTTATAAAATTTCATGTAAATATTTAACTAATAGTTCAATACACCATCAAAGTTTGAAAGATAAGTCTTTAACAAACATAAAATAAACACGAAAACTCAAAACTCTAGGATCAAATCACCTATGTCGAGGTTTTCATCGATTTCCTCCAAAATAAAATATGACTCATTAATCAAAATTGTAGGTGGATTAATTGTTAAACCTTTCATTTCTATATTTCAAAACATAAAACAAGTTAGAATTAAAATATAATATAATGGAAGATAAAAAATTATAAATTAGATTATAATTTACGAAGAATGACTAATCATCTTCTAAACCTTAAAACTCAAGAAGACTTTCATATATTATAAGAGGATCTCGAGATTGATGTATCTAACCTTGTGAATAAGAGCTTTCACTATTCTTGGAGTTAAGGAAGTGCAGAAAGAATCAAGAACTCGACCTCTTCTGCAAAATGCAGACTCAGAAGCAACAATAGAAACTGGAATAGCTAGCACATCTCGAACCATTCGGATAATAACATGGTATCTCTTTTGTGACTCACTCCATCTTAAAATATTAAAATTGGGATAATTGGGTTCAACTTCTTCACTCAAGTATTTCTCCAACTCAGTTTTTATCACAAATTCCTAAAAGTCCCTTTGTCATTATGTACATATTATAGTAATGTTGTTGCACATCAATCTTTTTATCATTAGTTTCCGTGCCATGAAGTGTTATAGTTAAAGTAGTAGTAGTACTTGATTCTTCATTCTTCGTCTTGAAGTAAGGGATTGTATCGCATAAAACTAGAGTTTTTAGAATGACTTTTATGATGGATAGCAAGATATTAGTATTTTCTACATCATAAGTATCAATCAAAATCTATTAAAAAAAACTCCATTTATGTCTTGGATCAAGTAGTAAAGCAACAATAATAAAATATTGATATTATCAATATTTTCCAATATTTATCATGTTTGGCCTTCATTTGATGAGTCATCCTTTAATACTTTCACTATCGTGACCACAATAGCTAGAGATCAAGTCTCTAACTTCAATTTTTTGAGGTACATAAGAGTTACCTGTCACATAAAGACACCTTGACATCTTCAATGTAGCCTCAAAAAAAATCTACAAGAAAGGTAAAAAAGTTTCAACACTTTCTCAACCATTGTCATCGGATACACCAAAATGCCTCCTTAACTCTTTATAATATGCGCCATTCTTAGTGTACAAGTTATCAAAAGCTTTCTTATACTTCAAAGTAGATTTGAGAATTAAGAATGTAGAATTCCACCTTGTTTCAACATCTAAAAAAGCAAGACTTTAACTTGTAATATTTTTTTCCCTCTATGCAAGCATTTAATTTTTGAAGTCTACAAAAATCTCACAACACAACTGATTAGTGCTTAAATTAGTTAATATTTTGTTGATAATTACTACTTGATTAGTCGATTTAAGTTGTTTATTTGGGCATTTTTGTTCATTTTCTATGTAGGGCAGTGGATTACAGAAATGATGCTAAAATAGATGAAATTATGTAACTTTTTATTTTCTAGAATCAACGTCGGCTTAGTGGGAATGAATTGGGGCATGACTATGTCTAATGTGGCATCTAGTCAATATATTCTAGAAGGACCAATTAGCATTCTCGTGGAGACATGAGACTCAGCCACACATCCAAAGTTTAAATTAAGATTTTATCTTTGTTTTTAAAAACTATCTTTTATTTTTATGATTAAGTTTTGAATATTTTCCAAGAATTATCTTTTGTAATTTATTTCTACAATTTTAGGGTTTTAAGCTAGTATAAACACCGCATCGGGGTGAACTGAAAATCATATATCTCATATCTCGAATTCTTTAATTCCTTTCTTTAGTTTTTATAAAATTTATTTTCTTTTTACTTTTTCTTTTCTTTATTTTTCTTTACAAGCTTTCTTTATTTTTAAAATTCTAATTATGGTTTATACCATGCTTAGCTAAGTTTTTCATAAGCCAAAGGCTGAAGCGATGACTCAATTTTGATCGTGAGAATTGAAAAGCACCTCATACCCTTCGGGTTACATTTTCAGTTTTCTGGAATCAAAGATCGTCAATCGACCATCCTTTTACAATAAAAACACTTTTTCTTCAAAAAGAGTTTGTTGGATTAATTGT